GTGAACCGTGAGATCATGACCATCGTGACCTGAGCCGAAGTTGGACGCTTAACTGACTGAGCCACCCAGGTGTCCCGCCCCACATGTATTGCTTTTTAGTGAGTAAAACCTAAAAGGACAGTTACAAAGGGGCACTAGTTGCGGAGTCAGTACTGCAGCGTGGGTGCTGCCACGTCTATTTTCCATCCACCCCCAAACAAGTACTTCTGGGCCTGGTCTGCCCCCTCCCAATTCTTACCTTCCCATAGAGCGTGGTGGCACTGGCGTCACTCCTCTGCTCATGCATGGGGGCGATGAGCGTCCACTGGTTGGTCTCTGGTTCATAGCGCTCAGCAGTGTTGAGACGCACGTAGCCGTCAAATCCTCCCATGGCATAAATAAAATTGCTGAGGACTGTCACACTGACGTAACAACGACGGGAGTGCATCGGGGCCACCTGGTGCCACGTTTTCTTGACTGGGTCAAAACGCTTAACGCTATTGAAATAGTCTACACTGTCAAACCCCCCAATGATATAAACGTAACCTTTCAAATAGGCTGCCCCATGGTAGGCACGGGGACTCTCTTCCTCACAAGTGACATTCACCCATCTGTCTGCCCGAGCATCATATGCCTCAATGGCATTGGTGGGGCTCCCACCACTCCAGCCACCGATTGCAAATAGGATGGCGTAGGGCAGGCGGGGCCTGGTGAGTGGGTTGGTGAAGTCAGAATTGGAGGGTCCATTCATGTTTAGATCATACATGGCCTTTAGGGCATTAATGATGACTGGCTTGCATTCCTCACTGTCTTTGACGTAGTCGTTCATCTTAACATTGTTCATGAAGTACTCAGCATGCATTAGGGCCAGGCGAACCTGAGAAGGAAACACAGAAAGTCAGATGAGGTGAAGGTACCTGGAAAACCCATGTCCTTAACTCCCTGTTTACAGTCTGCCTTTGAATTGCAGCAGGGTCCTATTTTACTTTGTGTTTGTTTACTTGTGTTTACTTTGTGTTTACAGCTCACAGTTTTAAATATTTGTTTTTCAGATGTGGTATACATTTGGATGCTGACAATGAGCTAGATAGAAGGTCACAGAGCTAGCCCCTTCCTTGGCCACTGGGCAGTACTATTAGACCATAAAAGGCCGTGGCAATTGTTCAGTCATTGAATATTTATGTTTCTCTGTATAAATAACACAAATTAGCCCCGGATGGCTACAATTGTGTATAACACTCGTGGTTTGGTGTCTAGTCCCACTTCTGCCTGGGGTTTGGGGAAACTCACAAGAAAAAAGGGTGAAAAGAAGGCCCTTTAGAATTCTTTTGAAGGCCTTGCTGTCTCTTTCCCCCACTACCAGGGAGAATTTTGGTCAAAGAATATAACAGAAGGAACTAGCAATGCCAAGAGCAAAGAAAATTGCACAATTCCACAGAATAGTAGGAGATGGCCTTCTATGTAAGTGTGTGTTAAATACGGCCCCGGAATCTGCCAAACATCTGAACGTGGCTCTTTGCACAGTCCCTCTGGGATAAATGAACCAAACATGAGCAAGTAAGCATCCCACAAAAAAATAAGTAAACTTGACCTTGGGAAGCAAAACTGAAATATGCTGCTTCCTGTTTTGGGGGTCATGAGAAATCCATTTTAAAATGGCCTCAAATACAGCATCTTCTTGTTTGACGTTGAGCTCGTCTTTCTCAATGATATCCTTCAGTTCACTGACTGAGAGCTCTAAAAACTCGGCCGAGACTTTCACCATCTCCTCAAAGTTGTGCAGTATGAACATGTAGGCCTTCTGCCTCAGCTCGGGGCAGTAGTAGTAGTCTGTGAACTTGCAGATGCCGATACAGTTATCCAAACACAGCTCCGACTTGAGGAACTCACAGCAACCCCTAACAATACCCATGATGTTGAATTGGTCTGCAGCAGCCAGCAGTTTCTCCACATTGTCCGGCGTGATAGGGATGGTCCGGGTGTATGCATATTCAATAATTAGCTTCATCATGTCCGGGGAAATGCCAGGAATGTTGTATACCTTCTTTTCGGTGTTGTTCCAGCCACTTGTAAACAAAGCTCTGGAAAGAAGAAAGAAACTAGTAGCCACTGAAACATTTCTCTCCAGTTTCTCCCCCACCTTTGTTTGTTGAGAGTTTGGAAATTTCCCAGCTAGTGCACAGTGAGTATGCCGGAAACAAATTGGTGTGAAGAAGGGGAAGGGGAGGGTAGAGTGCGTGCTTTATACAGTGGGCAAGAGAACCTTGCCAAGCACTTTGACTTTGGTCACTCTTCTTCTCCTCACGGTAACTAAAACTTTCCCCCATTTTGTGGATGGAAAAATTGGGCTCTAGACCTGGAAGTAAGACCTAGGTCTCCTCTATCCCAACTGAAGTCTACCTTCCTTCAGGAAATTAAACTTGAGCAGTAACACTTTTTTAATGAGCACTGTTAAATTGACACATAACCCAGAATCTGATCACACCTCTTACTGCTATCTCCTGGGTCCAAGCCACCACCATCTCTCACCTAGATGATTGGGAGTAACCTCCTAACTGATCCCCCTGCTTCTGCCGTTGATGCCTCTGGAGTTTACAGTTCTACCCCAACCTCCTTACGAGTTTATGTTCCTCTTCCACTCAGAACCTTCCACTGAGATCCCTTCTGGCTCAGAGTATTATTATACAAAGCGCTTCTCAGGGAGCACAGAAGTCCTCTGAGATCGGGACCAGTAATACCTCTGGCCACTTCCTCCCACCTTCCCCCTTATTCCATTCCAGTCCCACTCGCCTTGCTTTCCTTGAATGCACCCAGAGGTGCTTCATTTTTGGTCCTTTGTATATGCTGTTGCCTCTTCCTGGAAGGCTTCCCCTCTGCAGACCTCATTTCTCACTCCCACATCCCCTTAAAGTCTTTGCTCAAATGTCATTTTGTCCGCAAAGAGATCATCCTGTTTAAAATCACCACCCTCCTCTCCATACCTTCCTTTTCTCCCCCAGCACTTAATCTGCTTTGTGTTTTATTTATTGAACGCCTGTTCCTCCTACTAGAAGGTAAGCTTCATGAGAACAGAAATATTTCTCTCTTTATTCATCATTTCCAGTACCCAGAATAGTGCCCGTCACAAAATAAGCACTCAATAAATAATTATCAAATGAACAAATGACTACGATCCCAAAACTATGTATTGGGCTCCTACTGTAGAGCTAGGTACTTTTTAAGTTGTTGAACAGGACAGAAGTCCCTACCCTAATAAATTTTTGCTTCCTTTTTCTAGGTGGTTTAAAGAAATATGGATCAGATTCTTCTCTAGAGCAGGGGTCTACAAACCTATAGCCTCTGGGCCAGATTCTGTACCGCCCATAAGCTAAGAATGTTTTTCACATTTTTAAATGGGGGGAACAGAATACAAAGATTCTGTGACACCTGGAAATTGTAATAAATTCAAATTTCTGTGTCCGTAAATAATTTTATTGGAACACAGCCATGCCCTTTCATTTAGTATTGCCTATGGCTGCCCTCCCACTATAAAGGCAAAGTATAGTCATTGTGACAGAGGCCGTATGGCCTGCAAGCCTTAAAATATTCAGTCTCCGGTCTTTTTGTAGACCCTGTTGTAGGTCTAGATGAATGAGCATTTTTAGCAACAGATGGGACACATTTATCATATGTTCGTCGGAATTGATTACTCAAACATTTTCGGCTCATGAACAAAATAGCTCTGCCATTTCCTGGGTGACAGTGGTTGTGGCCTAAACTCCCTTTATCTTCTGGTAAATATTTCCTTGATGCTTTCCCGAATCCTCCTTCCCATCTCCTCAATCCTTGTTAATTTATCACCCTGTTTGAGATGGTCTCTACTGGGATAGGGGCACAGGGGGCAGCTGAAGGGGCACTGTCCTCTAGGTTTAAATAGGAAATCCACTATGGTTGCCTTCCCAAAGGTATGCTAGGGTGAGAATCAAAGGGAAAAAAGCACCTGGCCCACCAATAGTTGGTTGGAATCCAGTTGAAAACCAGAGAGAAGAGGCCCCAGCCCCAGTTGTGTCTCTTCAGAAGAGACACAGGAAGACAAAGGAACCAGGCTACAGGAGCCCAGGGTTTTGACAGTGTCCCTCATGTAAGGTGACAGGTTGGGAAACATGAAATGAACCAAAATGTCTCAGAATAAGCCCAAGTACCCCTTCGGCTTAGTTTGGCAACCCTGTTATACCTAAAGTAGGAACTGCAGCTACAGAGGATGTTCTTGTGGGCATTGAACTCAAAGCCATTGACCTTGATGACCACGTCGCAGAGCTTGCCCTCCAGTCTAAGCTCGTTAAAGATCTCACAGGTCATCGCGCTCATCTTCCTCTCCATGTGAGGCTGGTGGAAACGTGTGGAGGCCGCCGCGCTCTCCATCTCCATGGCACCCTGGGACCAGTGGAGAGAGACTGCTCTCCTAGGGTGTCGGGAGGGTTGTGGGGGGCCCCTTTAGCCTGCTGTCGCTCCTTTTCCCTACTACATCTTTCATATAGGGCCCATCAGGCAGCCCAAGTTCCAGGATCCTGGGCTCGCAGTGAGCTCACTCTCAGGATTGTGCTCTCAGATTCTGGAACTCTCTCCTGTCCCTGTCTTCCTTCCTTCTCCCCTCCCCCACCATTCAGGCTGAAGGCCACCCCACACCTTCCGAGCCCTTGAATCCAGAACAGGACTGTGATCACCCACACCATATAAGAGTTTTTATTTATTCTAGTTCCTGTTGCCCACTTCAGTTGTCCAGTTCTGGATGAGTGTAGCATCAAGCTGCCCTCTTCCACTGCTGAGCACTTGTCTCCCCAGACCCTCAATTCCAGGAAACCGAGTCAGAGGAGGCAGAAGGGAGTAAAGCTGATTAGAGTTCACGCTGGCCCAGCTGTCCAGGGCCTTCCTGCCCTGCGGACTTGTGTCAGCCGCTCGTTTTCTTCTGTGATGAGGAGTGGGGCCGGTTAAGGACCTTCTGGATGTTTTCCAGAAATCACTCTATGGCTCCTTCAGATCCGCTCCTTTCCTGCGGCTTTTTTGTCATGCAAACTTTAAGTCGGGAAACGACCTTTCCGGCCAGGGGTTTTGCTCTAGGCAGTGGTACCCGGTAACCCCAGCTCTTGGGACCCTCACCCGCTTCAACACAGAGCTCTCAGCCGGGGTGCTCCCCGGCGCGGGCGCCTCCCGCCCCCGGCCCCGCCTGCCGCCCGGCCCTCAGCCCGCGGTCCCTCGGCCACCGGCGGCCGGCGACGCCTGCGCAGTGCGGCGGCGGGGCGGTCGTTGTCCCGGCGCCGTCGTCCCGGCAGCGAGCGCCATGGCAGAGGAGGTGAGGCGGGAGGAAGCGTCCGGCGTGGGGCGTGGGGCGGGCCCCGACCCCCGGGGCGCTCCGAGGCCCCCAGCGGGCCGCCTGGGCCGCGCCGCGCCACCCCGGCCAGTAGGCGCCGCGGGCCAGGCCGAGCCCCTCCTCCGCTCCCCGCACCCCGCCCGGCCTCGCAGGCCTGTCGAGCCGGCCCCGGGCTCCCCCTGGGCCCAACGCGGTGCGGGGGTCAGCGCTTCTCTCGGGTCTCGGGACAGGTGAGCACCCTGATGAAGGCCACGGTCCTGATGCGGCAGCCCGGGCGGGTGCAGGAGATCGTGGGCGCCCTCCGCAGGGGCGGGGGAGACCGCTTACAGGTATGGCCCGGGGGGCGAGGTGGGGCGGCTGGGGAGGTGACCTGCCCAGGGGGCCTGCCGGCGCTGCGGCGGACACTGCATGCCCTCAGCCCCTAGAAATGGCCAGCGGCCTGGGGGGCAAGCAGGCTGACCCGCCCGATTTGCCCTGGGTTAGAGCCCACCTGCCCGAAAACCTAGATTTCAAATTTGTCAGTCATGCCCTGCGGCTGCTTCCTCTAATTAGGTCGAAAGCACCCAGCACCAGGCCCTGAGGCCTTATTTCCACACTAGCCCGGCCAAAGGGCTCCCCAGGAAGCTGCAGATATGGAGATGGGTCACCTTGGGAAGGACCCAGGGCATAGAGATGGCAAGGCAAGAGTCAGAGTCCTGTCAGCCTCCACCAAGAGGCTGGGCCTCCTCAGGCTTAGCAGGCTACTACCTAGGATTAGTTCTCCCTTCCCCCCTCTGGCCTTTCCTAGCTCCTGCAGGGCTTTGCCCACTGGCTGGGCCCTGAGCTGTTTTGCCTTGCATAATCTTCCCCCACCAGACAGTGGAAGGAGCCTGTGTAGACAGCATCTCTCTTTTGCATTTTAGGTTATTTCTGATTTTGACATGACCTTGAGCAGGTTTGCATATAACGGAAAGCGATGCCCTTCTTCTTACAGTAAGTCACATACTAGCTTGCTTTGTGGGGCTTAACAAGATGGTGGCTCCTAAGTGGCAAATAAAAGGAGTTCTGTGTTTTTGCAGACATTCTGGATAACAGCAAGATCATCAGTGAGGAGTGCCGGAATGAGGTACGCCACCCCGCTTTGTTCAGAGACTGCTATCAGGTGCTACTGCAGATGGTTCTTGGTGGCTCAGGTGGACCTTGTGTCATACACTGGGGTAGTGTTTCCTTTATGTCCGACACATGTGATGATTGGTGGTTAGAATATGGATGTGATGTCTGTTGCTAGCTGTGGAGTTTACAAGGGACTTCAACATTTTCTATTTAATCCTCCCGCAACTCCGAGGGGTGGATAGAACCATTATTACCTCCATTTAACAGATGAGAAAACAGGGGCGCCTGGGTGGCTCAGTCGGTTAAGCGGCCGACTTCGGCTCAGGTCATGATCTCGCGGTCCGTGGGTTCGAACCCCGCGTCGGGCTCTGTGCTGACAGCTCAGAGCCTGGAGCCCGTTTCAGATTCTGTGTCTCCCTCTCTCTGACCCTCCCCCGTTCATGCTCTGTCTCTCTCTTTCTCAAAATGAATAAACGTTAAAAAAATTTTTTTGAAAACAGAGGCTTGGAAAGGAGAAGCATATGTCATTCAAGGGTCATATGGCAAGACATGGAGAGCCTGGTTTTCCCATAGATCCGATTCTGTCCCAAACTCACTTGACTGCATTGTGCTGTTTCTTTGATGATATAAAGAATAGAGCCGGGCCCGCTGTGCATTTCTCTGCTGAGCTCTTGCTGCCGAGTACCTCTGTCATTTAGCTTCCTTTCATTAGGAAATTCACTAAGTTATATACTAAGTGGTCTTTCGGTCTGTCCTATTGGTCAGCTTTTCCAATACTCCGTCATGATTGCTTGCTGTTAAGATAGGCAACAAATTCTAGATAACTCTTCCTTTTCTAAAACCTGTCTCTCTGAGATACACTTTTAGCTTTACATAAGTTCTCACACCGATTACCTTTAGCAAGTCACTTTTTGTGGCTCCTCATGTGTCTGATCTTATCAGCTTCCAGAAAGCTGTATCCACAAATATAACAGCAGGTTTGGGTCCCCTCTCTAGGATAATGAGGCTAGGGAAAACTAAGATTCTGGGTGTTGATGAGCTCCTGAAAAAAGTCATAAAGCAAAGCTTATGGATGAAATCTTTTTTCTTTTTTAAAAATGCTATTCTTGGGGCGCCTGGGTGGCACAGTCGGTTGAGCGTCCGACTTCAGCCAGGTCACGATCTCGCGGTCCGTGAGTTCGAGCCCCGCGTCGGGCTCTGGGCTGACGGCTCAGAGCCTGGAGCCTGTTTCCGATTCTGTGTCTCCCTCTCTCTCTGCCCCTCCCCCATTCATGCTCTGTCTCTCTCTGTCCCAAAAAGAAATAAACGTTGAAAAAAAAAATTTTTTTGAAAAAAAAAAATGCTATTCTTCTGTTGAATTCTCTTATGCTTTTAGAAGACTGTTCTCACACACACCCCCAAAAACGCACACATTGAGAACCTCAATACATTTCGGGAGCTTTCTCCCCTTGTCTGTGATCTTTGTACTTAACTCTCTTTTGGAACTGTGGTCAGGGACTCCACATTAGCTCTCATAATATTCTGAGATTGTGCCTGTATTAAAATTAAAATCCTTTACCCAATTGGTTCCCGTTTTTATTGGGTGCTGTTATTGACGGACTCTGTGTGACACATGGCTCCCGACGTGGCCTCCCTAGCCAACGTGCCTGGCCTGTGGAAGGAAATCTTAGTAAGAAGAAGTACATGTACCTCCTCGCGAGGTGGTTCACCCGATGTTGGTGTTGTGTTGGTTATCCACTAACACGCTGGGTCCCAAACTTGACTTCTATGATTTTTCTACTTCCATTTCCATGATTTTTGCCATATCTTGGTGATTTTTACTACATATTTTACTTTAAATTGGCCTATGATTAAAAATCTGAATGCAGTTCACTTAGAAAAGAAACAACCTTTGTGAAAGCATGAGTTTGATGTGCTAGGGTGTTTTTTTTTTCTTTTTTCCTTAATACGCACTAGAATGAATCTAAAACTACTAAAATGAAAACTGCTTATCCACGTACCCCCTAAAGTCACCTCGCCTCCCCCCTGAGAAAGTGTATCCCATTTGGGGAAATATAGTTAATCCCTTCTTGCTGGTTAAACCCTGCTGACTGAGCTAGTGAGAACAACAAAATCCTAGTAACTTCTCACCTGATGGCAAAAGGTCTTCGTTGATTCTTAGACCTCATGGGATGACCAGCTGTGCAGATCGGTCACTCCCTCACACAGAGCTGCGTCTTCTAGGTGATTCTTTTTCTCAGGCTAATCGGTGGGACTTTGCTGGGGAAAACTTGATGCAGACTAACGGCTTTTGTCTTCATTGGGATGTTCCAGCTCAAAGCGCTCCTTCACCACTATTACCCAATTGAGATTGACCCACACCGGACCGTCAAAGAGAAGTTACCTCATATGGTAGAATGGTAAGTGACGGTGGTGTTGAGCCGCTCTTGGCCGTCATGGTGGACTGGTCCACCTATTAGAACAAACTGTCCAGCCACAGTGGGGCGACCTGTGGCCACTGCTAGAGTGGGGCCCCACTGAGAGTCTTTGGAATGAGGTAGAAGCCCCTTGGTTTGGGGGGGGATAAGTGCTTTGGGAGATAACTCTCCTATTGGAACCAGTATTGCTGGATGGAGCCCCAGTTCCCCAGAACGTGGGGGTCACCGAGGGAGGGATTCAGAAGAGTTCTGACTTCAGCAGTTAGCTCACCCAACCCTTGTTCCTGTGGCTGTGGTGTGGCTTTCTTACCCTCTTCCTTTTAAGGACAGCCAGAGTCTTCAGGAAGTGGCGTGGTGGATGAGGCCTCCCTTAATCCTTCCAGAAGGGGACTTGGCCCTGAAAAGAGAAAGGACACTTTACTTACTTAGTGATTTGAATTTGGTCTTTGGTGCGGTGTCCGTTTCTAGGTGGACCAAAGCTCACGATCTCCTGTGCCAGCAGAAGATTCAGAAGTTTCAGATCGCCCAGGTGGTTAGAGAGTCCAATGCAATGCTGAGGTGAGCTTCTTGCTCTGGAAACCATTTGAAACTGGTTTGCTCACCAAAAAAAGAGTCTAGGAAGGCGTAGAGGGGAGTTAGTTGCTGGGGGAGCCAGAAGAGACATAGCACCATGAGTGGCTGTTGCAAAGAAGGTCTTGCTTTTCCTCTCGGGATACAGCTGAAGGATTTCCCGCCTTGGGTGCATCCTAGGAAGCTGTCTATTGCCAGTGGATATATTATGAATATGACCAAGCCTTGCTCTCCTAGAACAAACAGCATCTAGCTCATTTTCTCCAATGGTAAAAAGACACTGGGGTCACCATGGTGGCTGGCGTTCTTAATCTAGACATGGGAGTTGGCTGGCCTGGGACGCTTGATCATTAGTGGCCTTCCCAGTGCAGCTCTCTCTGCTGGCATGTTTACTGGAGGAGGGGTGAGGGCACAGAGAGGGAAGAGCCTGCTCTCGAGGATTGGGTGTCCTAACTGGGGAGAGCCATGAAAAGCCAAGAGAGTAGAGACACATGCAGATCCAGTAAGTGCCTGGGTGGGGTTGGGGTGTTACCTCAATGAAGCTGCCCCAGAGAGCTGCCTGGTTGTATTTTGCTGGAACAAAATAAGGCAGAAACCAACCAACCAACCAAAAGCCCATTTATATGAAGTTCAAGGATAGGCACAGCTAATCAGCGGTGATATGAAGGGAGAATGAGAGGGGATGGCGTTGGTTGGGAAGGGACAGAAGGGAACCTTGATCTGGTTAGTAAGTACACAGGTGTATACATATGTAAATATTAGTTGAGTCGAACACTTAAGATTAGTGCACGTTAACCATTTACTACATGTATTTTATGCCGCAATCTAAAATGTTTTTAAAAAGAAAAAACTTAAAAATATATCACCCAAGGAGAAAAGAAAGACTGGTGGAAGAGGCGGAATCCATTCATCTCTTTTCAGGGAGGGATACAAGACATTCTTCAACACCCTCTACCAGAACAACATTCCCCTGTTCATCTTTTCTGCGGGCATTGGTGATATCCTGGAGGAGATTATCCGACAGATGAAAGTGTTCCACCCCAACATCCACATTGTGTCTAACTACATGGACTTTGATGAAGACGTGAGCCAGATCTTCTTTAGGCTGGGGATGGAGAGGGATGGGGACCGCCAGCCCTGGGGGCAGCACCCGCAACGTTAGCCCTGACCTGGGGAGGGAAGGGAGGGAAGGCATGCTGGCTTCTTGCTTCAGGCAGTTATTTCTTTCTTTATGCCAGCCAGAGACCGTTATTTCCTCTTTATTTTTGTTTTTGTTTATTTTTTAGAAAGAGAGCACGTGCATGCGCGTGCACAAGTCGGGAAAGGGCAGAGAGAGAGGGGCGGGGGCCCGAAGCAGGCTCCAGGCTCTGAGCTGTCAGCACAGAGCCGGACGCGGGGCCCAAACCCACGAACCCGTGAGATCATGACCTGAGCTGAAGTTGGATGCTTAAGCCACTGAGCCATCCTGGCGCCCCCTAGAGACAGTTACTTCTGAAGGACCTACCTTTTGGTGTTTGGCTGACAGCTCTCTGCCCCGGGGTTCAGCCAGGCCCCATGTCACTGCCCTAGGTCCTATGCCATCCTAGGTACTCAAGGGCTTAGACTTTGACTTGTTTTCCTAGAGCCAGAGGTCAGCTGCTCCAACTCACCCTTGCTCTGACTTCTTCCCCTTAAAACCAATGGCTGGAATTTTCGTCCCTTAAACCTGTGGCGAGGACGTGGCCCGCAGCTGGGGTTAGCACACATGTAGCCTGAACAGCGCCTGTGTCATGGGTTTCATGCTTCCACCAGAGTAGGTGATCAATACTATTTGGTGGTCCTTGTTTGTTGGAATCAGGGGTAACAACTTCTTTTTTTTGTAAAAGGCCAGATAGTAAATATCTTGGGCTTTGTGGGGTGGACTTTATGATCTGTCACAACTACACAATGTAAATTTACGCAATGTAAATTCACCCTGCTGTGAAAGAACGAGCAGCCACAGACAAGATGGAAACAAATGAGCCTGGCTGTATTCCAGTAAAACGTAATTTAGAAAAACAGGCCCAGTCTGGCCTATAGGACCCAGTTTGCCGACCCCTGGTTTAGACTACAGCGAGGTTTTGGCATTTCTGTGGCTCGCAGGATTCCCCTTTCTCTGCGACAGAGACGGTGGAACACTGGCTCTAGCTGGGTCCCTGTAGCCCTTCTGTCTGTCTCCTGATTATTTAGGGTTTCCTACAGGGATTCAAGGGCCAGCTCATACACACATACAACAAGAACAGCTCTGTTTGTGAGAACTCCGGGTACTTCCAGCAGCTTCAGGGAAAAACCAACATCCTCCTGCTGGGGGACTCCATGGGGGACCTCACTATGGCCGATGGGGTTCCTGGCGTGGAGAACATTCTCAAGATTGGCTTCTTAAATGACAAGGTGGGTATGGGACCAGACCCTATCTTAGTGGCTTGCTTCTTTTTCTTTTTTGATTTTCTTTTAAAGTTTATTTTGGGGGAGAGAGAGAGAGAGAGAGAGAGAGAGACAGAGAGAGAGACAGTGCACACATGTGAGCCCCTGAGCGTGAGCAGGGGAGGGGCAGGGAGAGAATCCCAAGCAGGCTCCACCATGTCAGCACAGAGCCCAATGCAGGTCGATCTCAACCCAACCATGAGATCATGACCTGAGCCGAAATCAAGAATCAGATGCTAAACCAGCTGAGCCACACAGGCGCCCTGGCTTGTTCCTTTTTCAGTCCCTGTTAACTAATGCCTAGCGAACACCTTCTGTGTGCTAGTCACTGTTAAGTATTAGAGGTACTAAGGTGAGCTACGAGCCATGTCCGCAGGAAAACAAAAGAGATACCCCGTGATGACAGCTGGGTTCGGCACATGGCATGACAGTGGGACTCAGAGACAGGGTCACTGGAGCCTGCACTTACTATTTGGTGCCACCATGTTCCAGGTGTTTTAGCCCATTTAATCCCTACAGCAACTTTTTGAGGTAGAGACTAATATGCCTTGTTTTACAGATGGGGAAACTGAGGCAAGGAGGTTCATCTGCTCACGGTGACATAGTTTAGGAACTGGTAGAGCTGATTAAAGTCCTCCTAAGTCATACCTGTAAGATATGATTGAAATAGGAGATGTCAGTATTCAGGAGGTGGGCTTGCAGTTCGGAGAACAAAAATACAAGGACAGACCAGAGGCTGACAGGGGGTGAAATGGTCAAAAGGGGGCACAGTATGGTGTCAGGGTCGAAGGCCACCAGTCCTCCCCTCAGCCAGCAGGGGCTGAAGACCTCCAGAGTGCTTGAGCCTTGGGAAAACTCAATCCAGATGGGTTAGAAGTACATCTGGTTTTTAAATTTCAATTCTTGTGCTGTCCTTTGGACATTGACCCAAGGGTCAATTGTGGCACCCTGTACCCACTGCCATCCAAAGGGCAGGTCCCTGTAACATCGAGCTGCAGCTCGGATGCCCTCCCTCCCCTGCCCCGGGTGCCAGGGAGGCAGAGGCAGAAGTCGGGGCATTCTGGGGCCTCTCGATCTTCCCTTCCCCGGGGCAGGTGGCAGAGCGGCGGGAACGCTACATGGACTCCTATGACATCGTGCTGGAGAAGGATGAGACGCTGGACGTGGTCAACGGGCTCCTGCAGCACATCCTGCACCGCGGGGACTGGATAGAGATGCAGGGCTCCTGAGTGCAGGCCGGGGTCAGGCGCGGGGGGCTGTGGAGAGGTGGGAGCCTCGCCAAGAGGCCGTCCTGCCGAGGGCGCTGCTTCTCCCAGGGCGGGCAGTGAACAGTCCAGGGTGGTGCGGCTGGGGAGCCTGTGCCCCTCCCTCCCCTCCCAGCGCCCAGGCTCCAGGCTCCAGGCTCCGGGAAGCCCTGCCCGGCAGTGGGAGGGCCCACCAGGTGAACACGGGACCTGCAGGGTGTTCCCACTCTTACTAGGGACCATCTAGCCCAGGGGTTCTTTTTTCCCCAAATTTTTAAACGCGGAAAGCTGTTCTTTAAACAAATCTAATGTGTGAAACAGATCTAAATAAAAAAAAAAGGGAAAAAAAACCCAGCTGTTCTGATTCAGGGGGTGCAGGGCAGAGCCCGTACCTCTTGGTTTTGGAGGAGCAGGAATCTCCAAGAAGCCACTAGGGCTCTATGGCACAGAATTTCAAAACCACCAAATTCACAGGCACCTGGCTGGCTCAGGCAGTGGAGCGTGTGCCTCTTGATCTCGGAGTTATGAGTTCGAATCCCACGCTGGCTGTAGAGATCACTTAAAAAAATAAAGTATTAAAACAACAACAACAACACTGAATTCACCCACAAGACCCTCTGAGCATGAAACGTGCTTGGGGGTCAGGGTGGGCAGGCAGGGTTGGAAGGGTGTGTTTCTGACCTGGAATGGTTTGACTTTAGGCTGAGGTATCCATTAAACTTGAAATCCCACTGGGATTGGTGGGATCTGGCCAATCCTATCTGCTGAGTTCCCTCTTTATGGATCCTCAGAGGGATCCAGGACCACCAAGATGGGTGACTTAATTAAGGGGAGTCAAGACCGGGACCTGAAGGGAGAAGATGCTCTGTGACAGGTGGGAGTGATTTCTGCTCTGACATCTTGCATCATTAGGCTTCCTTCAGAGCTCCTGTCCCGTGTCCCTTCCCTGTTGACTTGGATGGTCAAGGACTAACTGAATTCTCTAGGGTACCTTTTGAAGAGAAAATGTAAAGCAGCCAGTTTCACCCGACATTTTTTTTAGCCTGTCCTCCGAGAGATTCACCCCCTCATCCTGCTGCAGAGGATGCTGGCTGTGGGACACTTGCGTTTACCTGCAGGTCCGAAGGGACAGGTAGTGCTTGCTGTAGGTGCGTGCCATTTAATCCTCCACAAGGTCCCTGAAAGCAGGCATACTTCTCATTTCTGGGTGGCTTCAAGAAGACCAGAAACTTGCCCAAACTCCATAGCTAGGAGCTAGAGCCAGGATTTGAGTGTTCCTGACCCAAGCCATACTGTTTCTTCTGCATCGTGCCTTCAAACGGGCTTCAGTTCAGGGCTGGCCTGTTAGCTTCTGGGAAGGGGGCGGTTACCATGCGAGGCCAGGTCTGTAGCCACCGTCAGATCCGGAGGTGCCTTCTGGATGCTTTGGGTCCGCGAGTGTCTATTACTGGCCATGGGAAAAGTCATGTGTCTCAGGGTGCTGGATAAGAAACAGGTGCTTGTGGGGACAGGTCGGTCCAGGGAGTCCAGCACCAACTTTTTCTCTCCCAAGCTTCCCCTGCTCCCCCGTTCTTTCTTGGCTCAGGTCATTTTTGTTGCACTGGCCAGAGTCCAGCCAGGCAGGTGAGGGGCAGATGGCCTGCAGACTGCAACTCTGTTACCTTTCCTTTAGGCAGGAGGGTGGATCCGGCAGGTGGGAAAGGCTGGCCGCCAGGAGCAAGGAGAGGTGGGGATAGCTGAGTACTGGAACCAGTTTACATGGAAGAGAGGATTCTGACCTGTGCGGTTTGATCTAACCCCTGAGTCATGTTTGAGGTCAGGGACCGCCTCTTTGTTCAGCTGGGATGGTTAGGAGACCCGGATCATCTCTCCACACCTTCCTGGCAGGCCCCTTTGTAGATGCCCACTCTGCACCCTCCCTCCGGCAGACTGGGGGTCCCTTTCCTTGGGGAGGGCCCCGGTTAGGCCTCAGGAGGCAGGAGGCTGAGACTGAGGGACACAGTATCTTGAGCTGATGAGGTATGAAGAGACGGCCCGCTTTGTTCCCCTCTCTTCCCCAATCTTTGGGTCTGAGGGCCTCCCCGCCATACACACAAGGAAAGAGCACAGCCTGAGGTGTTTGGTTTAGTCTTTTATTTGGCACAAAGGAGAAAGGGATCTGACACCAATTTAGCCTTTTGAGTGTGCAGAGCTCTGTCCACTCCCCTCTCACCCCAAACGAGCCCCTCTTCCAAGTCTGACTCTGCCCTGAAACCAGGATTTCCCAAGGATTTCATAGCCCTAAGACCCATCCCAGTAGTTACCCTTCGTACTCTTCCGGTTCTCTGTCCCGTTCGAGAAAGCAGCCTTCCTTAGGGATGAAAGGCAACGCAAACCCAGCCCTGACTGCAGCACCCCAGGGGCCTTCAGCCGCTACTGGATGTAGCGAGGGGGGATGGGATAGGTGTGGGGGAACAGGTAAGGGGGGAGGCCCTTCCTAGAAGCCAGCCAGAGCTGAGAGAGGAAGGCTGAGGGTCTGGACAGTCCTGGTTCATGCTCCTGGGAGCTGCTTCGACACAGAAATGGGGGCTGTAGGGGGGTGCTTGGGGACGGCAAGGAAAAGTACAGATAAAAGGGAAGCTTGGGGAAACGAAATGGTGAGCTCGGCTGGCCGTGTTCATTGTATGGTGATGGTGATGCGGAGGGGAGGTATGGGTGAGGGGCCAGCAGTGGCCGCATCCAGACCCTAGACTCCACCAATCACCGGATTGGCTTTGTGACTCTAAAACTTGTAAGTGAGGGGTGTGGGGTGGGAAGAGAAAACCTGAATAGAGGTCTGTGCTGTGGATTTTACTCTCGGGCTGGTGGCAAGACCAGAGTCATCTCTGACCACTTTTTAGATGCTCCCAGCCAACATGCCAGCACAGGGGAGGGTGACCCTTGGAAGGTCAGCCCCACCGCCCACTGTCCCCCCACCCCCCCGAGAAGTGGGCCTTTGCATTTGGGCCCAGGCCCCTGCCCTTCAGAGCTCCTCATGGACTCGCTCCTGGTCTTCGTCTGACTTCAGTTTGAGCTCCTCGACAGTGATCTTGCCATCCTGGTTGCGGTCCTGGTTCTGGAACATGTCTGCTATGGTCTTCTCTGGGTCCTGCCCAGGCATGAGGCGTCCTTTGCCCTCACTGACTTGAGCTTTGATGAAGGCGGAGAACTAGGAGCCAAGACAGCCGAGGGGAGAGGGGAGTGAGGGTCTCGCCTGAGTGGCGGTGGGTGGCCTTGGGAAAGGCCCTGGGGCACAGGGAGGCACAGAGGAGAGGAGAGCAGGTGCTGGGGGCCAGGCAGAGGGTGGGTGTGGAGGACAGGCAGCATTGGGGGGG